GCTTTAACAGTTCAAATCAGGCCACCACACTGGGAACACCTTCCAGGTGATAGCTGCCCAGATGGCCAGGCAGGAGGCATGCATGGGAGTAGTGCTGCACAAAGGCCAGTCCTGCAGCCACAGCCCACTGGCAGCTGGCCCAGAGGGGCAGACGCCTCTACTGGCTGTGCAGTCCCCATCTAGGTATGGCAGGTGCACAGCAGGTCATAGCCAGGCAGCATTCCCCACTGCCAGATGGCTGCAGTGGGTAAAGTGTGCAGAGAACTCTCAGGGTTGCTTCAGCAGTCCAGCTGGCACAAGGGGTAGTGTCCCCAGACACTAAGTGGCTGGGCCCCAGAAGCTCCTGAGAGTGAGTAGCCCTGAAGCTACTTGCCAGGGCAGCTTTTTCTACTGCTGGGCCCAGGACAGGTGCTGGTCCCAGGCTCTGGCTCCTCCTGGCTGCAGATCCAGGAGGAGCCAAGCAGAGTTATTTTGCCCCAAGTGGCACAATTTGCCCCATGACAAAGTGCATGTCCGAGCATGTGTGCTGAGGCAAAAAGCCTCGGCTCAAATTTGCACTGCTTCTATTTGAGCTGTTGCAAGCTCATGTGCTTGCATGTGTGGGTGCGTCCTCTGAGTCCTAGCCCTACCCTCCAGCATATCTACTATTCCCCCCAGCTTAGTGTGATCTGCAGCCTTTCTTAGGGTGCATTCTATGCCATCTTCCAGGTTGTTGATGAAGGCATTGAACCAAACCAGCCCCCAGACCAACCTCTGGGGCACTCCACTTGATACTGGTTGCCGATTAGACATCAAGCAATTGATTACTACTCTTTAAGCCTGATACTTCAACCAATTTTCTATCCACCTTACAGTCCATTCATCCAGCCCATACTTCCCTAGCTTGCCTGGGAGATAGTTGTGGGAGACAGTATCAAAAGCCTTGCTAAAATCAAGGTGCACTATATCCACCAGTCTTCCCCCATCCACAGAGTCAGTCATCTCATCATAGAAGGCAATCAAGTTGGTCAAGCATGACTTACCCTTGGTGAATCTATGCTGACTGATCCTAATCACCTTCTTTTCCAAGTGCTTCAAGATGGATGTCTTGTGGGTCTGTTCCATGATTTTTCCAGGGACTGAGGTGATGCTGACTCATCTGTAGTTCCCTGTATCCTCCTTTTTCCCTTTCTTAAATATGGGTACTACATTTGCCCATTTTCAATTATCTGGGACCTCTCTTGATCACCAAAGTGTTCAAAGATTATGGTCAATGGCTCTGCAATCGTATCAGCTAACTCCCTCAGCACAGATCTTGTTCAAAGATTCCAAAAAGCAATTATTCTTTGCTTTATCAAGGGCAAAACTTAGATTAAAAATAATAAGCACTTGTGCACATTTCCCTACTCCAGTTTCTGAACTCCATAGTTGTCATCTCTGAGCCAGAATCCTTCAAGATGCCCAGGATCTCTGATCTGCAGCTCCTGGCTGCTCTTCTGAACAATGAAGCCTCTTCTTATTTCTGAAGCCAGTTCTCTGCAACGGCTCTCCTCTTTCTCAAATAACATCCAGTCCTCTTTCTAAAATAACATCCAGGTCCTAATGTCAATTCAGCTCAGTCTCCTCATATAAAACATCCACAGTGGGCACATCTTCACAAGATGTTTACTGTGGTTACCTAATTAGTTCCACAGTGAAGTCTCAGCATTTACACATGTGGCCCTATTATGCTGCAGTAAACTAATAAATGCCACTGTAGGCCAGTACTTGTCAAAACAAATACTATCCTATGGTGCTGTTATTTAGTGAACCACAATGCACATGTACATGCTGATGGGACTGGCTAGGGCACAAGGGTGCTTCAGTGCAGGGGCTGCCTGACAGCTAGCCCTGCACTGGAGCACCCTCATGCCCCAGCCAGTCCATCTGCAGCACTTTGACCTCAGCTACAGCAACCCCAGACTAGCAAGCTGACCCTCTGGATCCCCTGCCAGCCAAGGCTGCCCTAACCTGGCTGCATATGCTGCGGTCCCAGGCACACATGCAAATGCGATGCTAGAGAGTAACAAACTTTGGAATGATATGTGGCAGAGTTTACTCATTCACAGTAATTTCATGTGTAGATGAAATTACCTAGAGATCAATTGTTTCAATACCAGCTTATTTGGCATAACCCATTTTCTTGTTTTTGCCTCTATCTTTATTGTATGCATTCAACATATACTTGTTCATTGATTACCTCATTTTCCCATGTCCCTGGAAAGAAGCTACTGACTTGAGGTCAGGTACCAAGATATGCAAGGATAAACAGGTAAACTGTGTCATACATAGAAAATTAGATAAATAATAATTTGTTAAAATTATACAAATTCTCCCATTTTGTCCATATGAGTACAGGTTGGATTTGCACCTGGAGGCTTCAGCTAAAGCTATATTGGCAAAATCTATCTCATACAAATAAGAGTTTGGACAAAGGCTTAGGAACCAAAGCCATCATGTTTCATGCAGGTATATCCTGTGATACCTAAATACAATAGGGTGAGCTAAGGACAGAGTTTCAGCCCTAACGCTGAATTTCCTAGCTTTCACGGGCTTAAGTCATACCCTTAATGTTATTTAAAAGTATTTTTTCATGGTTTAATATATACTATAACTTGTTCCTGTGTGACAACTGGATTTATACTGGCTTCATCCCTAATACCACTGGAAACTGGAAGCAGGCTCCCCTATGAGTCTGCACTCCAAATATTTTGAGCGGACAGCAACCCTCTAATGCTGATCTATTTTGCCTTGCCGTTGTATCCAATAAAAGTTCTATGTTCTATTCCTCTTCTGTCACATTTCAGTACCACGTTCAACTTGTAGGCTATTAGCCTGCTAAATATTAACAATGACCACCAAAGGAACAAAATGTTTGTATCTTCTCTATTTCTTTTCTCTCTTGTTTCTATATTTGCATTAAAAAGTCTGGTGTAACAAAAAGGGTTGGCTTGTTTTTTGTTTTTTACATTAGAAATTCAGCTCCTATCTAATATGCATTTCCTCTGGATGATTTTATAGATGACTGGAGAAGCTTGTTAGGTGCATAATGCCACAGCCTGAGGAAGGGAAGTGATTTTCTGTTAGGCTATTCAAAACTCTCTTTTTGGTTTTTATTAACGCCTTTTTAATACAAACATCTAACAAGCAGTTCAGAGACAATATTATCTCAACAATCTCACATTAAAGAAAATTTGAGGGCTCTTTTTTGTATGGCTATAAGAAAAAACTTTTTGCTCTTGTAAAACAAATTATGAAGTAGGAGAGAGAGGGAGTTTTTTGTTATTTTGTTCATTTCACTGGTCATTTGTGGAAAAAGAAAGAAGCTTAACATTAATTTCCCTTAAAAGTTTTAATTGTGCAATATAATGCTAGTATTTGTTTTATCAGATACTAGTTTGTTTTACATACTCAAAAGACAAACATCCTTAACTCTTCTATGTCCTGTTTGTGGTGCTTTGAGCGTACAGGAGATAGCAAGCTGGTTGAGTGTTCATAGGGTTGTTAAGCTGGCATGTCTGTATTTATGACATCTACCTTTTCCTTCCTTTTCCCCTGCATGGGAGATATGACCAGAGAGTACACAGGGCTCCTATAATCCTGGCCTGGAAAAATGGTTTCTTAGAATCATGGAAATTAAGGGCTGGAAGGGACCTCAAAAGATCATTAAGTCCAACCCCCTCCACTCTGATCCCAAATGATCCCAGCAAGGAGTCTGTCCAGTCTCCTCTTGAAGACTTCCATGGTTGGGGACTGAACCACTTCTTTGGGAAGTCTGTTCCAGATTCTGGTCACCCTTACTGTAAAGAAGTTCTTCCTTACATCCAACCTGAAGCCATCCTCTAGCAGTTTATGGCCATTGCTTCTTGTCCTCCCTTGGGGCACCCTAATGAACAGTTTTTCTCCCGGCTTCGGATATTCGCCCCTTACATACTTATAGATGGCTTCCAAGTCCCGCCTCAGTCTTCTCTTCCCTAGGCTGAGCAGTCCCAGTTTCCTTAGTCTTTTCTCATAAGATTTGTCCTCCAGGCCCTCAATCATTCTTGTGGCCCTTCTCTGGACCCTTTCAAGATTTTTACATGTTTTTTGAAGTGCAGCGCCCAGAACTGGACACAGCACTCCAGCTGGGGTCTTACTCGCGCTGAGTAGAGAGGAAGTATCACTTACTCATGACACATTGGCTAATGCATCCCAGAACCAAACCCTGAGGGATACCACTGGTCACCTTCTGCCAAGATGATACAGACCCGTCCACTAACACCCCCGGGGTTCAACTCATTAGCCAGTTTCCAACCCACATGACCATGGGCTCTGCCATCCCACAATCCCCCAGTTTTTTTATAAAAGCATCATGGGAGACCATATTGAAGGCCTTTTTAAAGTCCAAATGTATGACATCAACAGTATCTCCCATATCCAAGAGGTTCGTTACTTGATTGTAGAATAAGATAAGGTTGGTCAGACACAATCTGCCTGCAATGAAACCATGTTGGCTATCCTTCAGCATCATGCCTTCTTCCAGTCTCCACCAATGGACTTCCTGATAATTTTTTCCAAAAATTTACCCAGTATCCAAGTCAAACTGCCTGACTTATAGTTTACTGGATCCTCCCTCCTCCCCTTCTTAAAGATTGGCAACATATTGTCCTTTTTCCAGTCTTCCAGGACCTCTCCTGAGCACCACAAGTCTTCAAATACCTTTGCCAATGGTCCTTCAATGACTTCAGCCAATTCCCTCAGTGTTCTCAAGTGTTGGCCTTGTGGTCCTGCCGACCTGAAGACATTCAGCCATTCTAAGTGCTCCCTCACCAGTTCGACACTGACAATTGGTTGGCAATTGTCCCCCCCCATCCATCCAGAATATTAACACTGGTGCAAGCTAGCAGCCTTGAGGCTGCTCTAGTTTGGTCAAGAGAGCTTCTATGTAGTTTTAGTTTCTCCCTGCCACTGGGTGCATCTATGCAAGACACTGAATGTGCAGTAGCTGAATAATACTGCGCAGTAGCAGGTCATAGCACAGACGGTGCTAATATGCTACTGTGAAGTAGCATCACTTAAAAGATGTTTGCTGGCACAACTGCACAGTAATGCCAGTTACTGCACATTTAGTTAGCACTTGCTGATACAAGTTCTAACTAAGTGTGCAGTAACCACTGCACAGTAGTGTCTCATGTAAAGGCACCAACTGTGTCCTTAGTTAAGTGAACTGACATCAAAAAAGGAAGTTTGGACATGAAGCAATATGCTTAGGAGCTCAAAGGAAAGAAGGCTGTAACAACTGGACATAGAGTTATATAAGGCTGACAGTGTGGTACCAGAGGGGTTGCTGCTGGTGAAAAACAAGTCTTTCAACTTCCAGATACTTTCAGTAAAACATATTCCACAAAAAGGTCTTAAAAATTAGCATCTGCTGTTTGTGTTCAGGTCCTGTTTTTGTTCAAGGTGAAAACTCCTGGTAAAAATTATTCAGCAGAAGAAAAAATCCTGACCTATTCATACTGTAATAATACTCAGCTTTTGAAACTTTTAAACGCTCTTAACCACAAACAATTTGGAACAACCAACTGCAATCTATTAAGTTTCAGCTCACAAGGATTTCATTTTTTTCCCTCAGCCCTTTCTTGTATGCTATACAAGTATTTATATGAAACTCATAGATATTACTGGATTGAAAAAAAAAAAAGTTTATGAGGAGAGACAGACTAATGCCCATACCTCCCAAGTTAGGCTTCAGAAACCAAGACAAGTATTCACTACTGTTTGATGTATATTTTTCTGTAGTTAATTATTTTTCTGCATTCCTCTGGGAATTACATCATTTTAACTTTAGGGCCAAATCCTGCCAGATTTAGGCAAATAGCACTGCTAAGGATGACTGTTTTATCCCTTCACTTATTTTGCTGGGAGTAAGGCAAGTAAGATTTGCTCCGTAAGTTAGTATACCCAGGGACTTAAAAGAATGCTTTATCATGTGACACATTTACTGGGGAGATGCTTATCTACCATATGACTTTGTGGTCCTTAAAATAAGCAGCATTGTTAATAGACTGCATATGTACTGTTCTTAATAACCATGATACAAAGCAGTTCTGCTTCTCTTTTTAACTGAAGAGTAACATTTGGGAGGTTTTATCATAGATTAAACATGTTCATTTCAGGATAATTTTAGGAGAAGTTAATTCATTGTTTGCAATTTAATAAAAATATCAACAAGGTTCCATTGTCATATTATCCTCAGATGATTTTCCCTAATTATCTTTAAAACTTGATTGATTTTTTTATGACATGCACTGGGCTATACTGTTAGAATAATTGCTTAATTATCTGTTTGGTTTGGTTAAACTGAGAACCAATGAAATCTAATGACTAAAGCTTATGTTTCATGGATTTTATGGGGTTGCTTATTATGCACTATTCTGCTTTTATAGATTTATCAAATATTTTATGGAGATGGCTTATTTCACATTTTATTAGGATAGCAGCTTTTGGTATTTGGGAGTAGATGCCTGACAGATGGTGAGTATGTTTTGCAACACTGCTAAGAAGCTGATTAAATGCAAATGGTGTTTACTTTGGGACTGTGGTGATTTTTAAACTTATTAAAATATTCATCTTGTGATTTCTTCCTTCCATTGGTTATACAGCTTACTATGGACTAAATACTTATAAAAAAACACTTCACAGTGAAGGCCTCTCAAAGAGCCAGTGGTTATACAAGTTTGAGAACAAAATTTGGTTTTATATGCAGAAATTAACACAGTTATTGGATGCAAGTTCTTTGCTGGAGGGACTTGGTATGTTGGAGAATAGCTGGTATGTACCTGTCAGTTTCACCAGGTTGGGAAATGTACTTGTGGAAAAAAAGTTTACAAAGTATTGCTTTAGACTGTTTGCCTTTTTTAAGTGTCCAGTATGAGACAGAAATGTGCTAGAACTCTATCTGAGCATATAGTAAAAACATCTTTTTGAAAGCTGTGGACAGTCAGTCAACACCTGTCAGCACCACCACCACATAAATGAAAAGCGATGACTATTTTTTACATGTCAGTGAATTTCAGCTATGACAACCTAATTCAAAACTAGACAAATCCACACTTATTTTATCCCTAGTCTCTTAACAGGCCCAACTTACTGGTAAGTTTTAAAATAAACATCAGACAGCAAGATCCTCATGCAAAACGTTCACTGTATTTAGTGGACTGTTGAAGTAGGCCTATAATCTGAAGACTTATGGTGGCGGCTAGATATTCTGTAACTCATCTAAGGATGTTATTTCAAAATTTCTACAAGTTGTTTGTGGTAAGCCCTGTTTCCCAACCATGTTCTAGTATTTTCTGAGTTTACATTTGGGAGCAGACCCACTAGAAAAAAGACCTAAATCATATAGAATTGGGTAATACTTAGCTGGTCTGTAAGCACTCTGCAGTCTTTGAAGCTCTGTAGACTCTGCAGATCTTACTCTGCAGGGTAAAGTTGATGAATATGTTGCAGGTAACCATTACTCTACTTAACACTATTTAAACTCTATTTTCTTCTCATAGCATGTGTTGACATTTGCTGATTCACTGAAGATATTCTAGAATGTGTCATCAGAAGTACCAAAATTTCATCACAATCATACCAAAAAACCCATGATGGATGTAATGCCTTGGACAATTCAAAGACTGTTGTATCAAAATTACAAGATTATATAATCCTTAGAAAACCAGTAAAGACATATATTGCTGGTTAAATGGGTAAAACAAGGAATATTTACCGTGGGAACTTAAGTTATAGTCATAATTAATGCAGATTTCCAATTAAGGTAGCTAACCTTTTGCAGGTTTCCCCCCCCATTCAATACCATATACTCATACTTGTATCTACTTTACTAGACAGTCATCCAACTTCTATATGGAGACCTTGATAAAGTACTTCAGAGTCTCTCACTGGACCTATTGGTTTTGGCTATTGTCCCTGGTTAGGTTTTGGATCAAGTGTGAGCATCCTCATTTCCTAGGTAAAGCCAGTCACTGTGTACACTTGCAGGCACATTGTCTACCTGGCCTCTTGAACAATGGCCAGGTTCATGAAGCTACGCAGATAGTGTGCCTGAATGTGCATAACATGATCAGTCTGACCCAGAGCACGAGGACACTTGCAGTTAATCCAAAACCCAACTGGGGACTGTAACTGAAAAAGACAGGCCTGGTGAGAGAGTGTCAACTACTTTAGTAAGTTTTCCATGTAGAAATCAGGTGACTTCTTGGCAGAGTAGATAAGCATATAAGTTGTTTAATTTTTTTAGTGTTTTTTCCTAAATGCTTGTTTTGAATAAATGATATCCAGCTCTATCACACTTACCTAAATAACTACAGTAGCAATTAAGCTCTCTGGTCAATGTGATTATCTCTGTCATTGTTCCTGACAGAACAACACTGAAAGTTTTGAACTAATCTCAGATTTGTTGAGAGAGTTGCGATGAAATGCAGAAGTTTGTTGCCTATGTCCCCAGTTTAGAAGTAGAGGAACTGTGGGTTCCTGCCTTGTGAGAGATAACATTTAGGTTAGAAACAGACACTGCCTTTGCAAAAAAACATTTATGGAGGCAAAAAAGCCAATCAAACAAACCTCCACACCCTTTGCCATGCCACACATTCCTGAAATTGTGGGTGCAATGAAGGTAGTAAGAATTGCTGT